ACAGGAATTAAGCTCCAAGCATATTACCTTTGCTTTCAGCTTTGTTCTTCTGCCTTCCTCTCTGACATAAAACTTTCTTTTTCATCAGCAAAAATAATTCAGAGTCATATTTGACTTCAGCAAGATCATACACTAACTTTTTTTTCATTGCTGAATCCCAGCTTGACCTAGCAGGCCTATCCAGGGACTTTTAATTTGAAGCCTCTGACTTTTTGTGTAGAGAAGAGAGAGAATTCTTTTTCCTATATAAATTCCCAGATTTTACACTGATCAGCTCATCTATCCAGCACTGCTGGAAGAGCCCCCCCACGTGTCTGGGAGGGCTACCCACTGACTGGCAAGGCTGTGCAGCTTGCTGCCTGAAGCTCTTGGAGTGAGGAAACAGTGGGTTTCCCGTTAGCACCCAGATGGTCTTCCAACCTCCTAGCCTCTTTGTAAAAGGCCATTCTGTATCCCTCAGCCGGGTTGGAGTCTCTGTTTCATGGCCATGGCTCAATACACCTCAAGTGACGCACACCTTCCTCACACTGTCAAATTTACCTGGAATCATCCTACCCAATGAGGCACAGCTCTGGACGTTACTGAGCTCCACTGGTTCATTGGGTCCTTGTAGGAAATTAAGACTAAGGTCACTCTTGAGGGTGTTCGGCAAGAGAGGTGGCTTCTTTTCGAAACTGCCACTGAAGTCTCTTCTCCTAATTCACTCTTCTTATATCTACAGAGAATTTCCATGTGGCAGAACTTACTATATCCTTAATATAGCCTAGGGACGTGTTCAGGTGGCCAACACATCAATGGTTCATAGAAGTTTGGTTTCAGCTGGGAAGAATTCTGACTCTAAATCCTGCGTTGTCTTTATCCTGTCAGCATTAAAGGAACCAAATTTCCAGGGTAGCTTTAAAAGGGAGTGAATGAGGAAAGGGTTGATGACAATCATGATGATTCTACTCCCACAACTGTAGATAATAATGCCAACATAGAAATAGGCCCCATAGCCCTGGCCTTGTATTAAAAACAGTCCCTTTCAGTTCCAGGTGCTACAGATGTTCTCCACTGTCAACTTTAGTTGTTGTATCTGATGACCATTGCCAGTAAACTGCCCTAAGGAAAACAAGGGTAATGTGTTTTACCTGTAAAGCACCCCTAGTGGAGAGATGGGGTAGATGAAGAAGGCCAATTTATCATTCAGACTGGACACTTCAAAGAGAAAAGGGGGGTCTTATTGATTACAGAAGTGTGATAGGCATAAGCTTTCCCCCAGGGAATCTGAAACAAGATTCTCCCTCTCTTACGGCATGTGGAAGTCAAATGAAAATCTTCAGAGAGTTCGGGAAGCATGTTTAAGGCCACAGGTCTGTTAAGAGAGGGTGTCTTGTGTTGGAGGAAGGAGAGCTGCAGAGTGTGAACTGGAGCTACTGTCCTAGCTAGGCTATATGGGGCCTCCCTTTCACTGCAGATACGGTATCCAGACCCTCAGCCCCTTAGTGCCCCGCTATCAGCAGAGACATGGGCCCTTTCATAGACAAGAGATGGGTTAGATTTCTAGAAATGTCAGTCTGGTATCATCAAGTGCTCTGGCATCAATCACACAGTGCATCTGAGGATCGCAGGCTGCTGCTGTGTATGTCCGGGGAGGGGTACTATGGCCAAGAAAGCTCCTAGACCCCTTGACTCACACTGGCTCTTCCCATCCCTCACTTCCAGAAGCACACTATTGATGGCATTGTTCTTAGCCGAAGAGTACCAGGTTCCATCAAGGATGCCATGTGCAAGCACAGCCAAAGGACTCAGTCAACAGGAGAATGACAAGTAGTCATGAATCCATTCATTCCCTTACGCTCACCATCTGGGAGTTCTGAGCTGGGGCGTTCTCAGGCTACACAGTGGTTCAATTATAACCTAGGCAGTGTCCTACTTCTTGGGTGAAACCTACATTCTCAGTTCCTATTCACTATCAATCTACCCTTGCCTCAGACTGGACTATTTCTACACTCTGAATCTTTCCCCACTCTTGGCTTCTGCTTTATGTTGTTACCCCAACCTGTTCTATTTCCTTTCTGTAACACTCCATTCAACCCTAAAAAACTATACATTCCTTAATTCACTACTTCTGTAAAGCCTTTACTAAACAGAATTAAGCCCATGTTTCCTCTCTGCATCCATAGCTTCATATTAAAAATTTTAAGCTAGCCCAAACTCAGCTTTCATCATTAGTTCTAAGGTCATTTTGTTCACAGGCAGCAAGCTGAGCTCTGGCTGTTTGGGAAGCCCCTGTCACAGTACTCCAAATACTCTCCATCAAATGAATAATATGTCCAGTGGTGTTCTCTAGACCTGCCATCACCTTTGGGTATTAGTACTGTGACAATATTCTGAATTTATGAGAAATAGGATCACTCAGCAGCAACTGGGAAGGGCTCAGTAAATGCTCCTTTTACAAACAACTTATAAAGTCTTAGAAGAGGGCAATAGTAATGCCACTAGACAAATGAAAAACAGAGGTGTTTGGGAAAATAAACTAGCTTCTCGGGGTCAGGATGATTTGAATGTAGATCTATCTAACTCCAAAGCCTGTGTGCTTTTTATCAGTTCTTTGAGGGCAGGGAGGGTACACGCAGCCCTTGCTGCAGTGGACAGCACTGGACCCTGCTAACGTCAGTTTCTTCTGTACCTTATTCTAACCCACAGAGCCCCTCAGTGTGTTCTGGGAGTCATGAGATGAAGGTAGAGAATTTTGATCCTCCTGTGCCTGTACTCTCTGATCCCAGATACTTACTTCCACCTACCTGGTGCCCCAAGCCCTCTTCAAAGCTTTCCTGCCTTCAGACTCCAGCTCAGAGGTGATGGGATAAGCCCACATCTCTTGGATGAGTGATAGCTATCTGCCTTCTCTTAACAGTGATGCTTGTAGTTAGTAAGACTTTGTTTACTCAGAGGTTAAAAGTCCACGTGGAGCCAACTTATTAGTGGGAAGTATAGTCCTTTGGGGTGGATGGAGAAAAGAGTCTAGAACACAAGGATGCTGCAAACTTATTGCATGTAACTTAACACATTAGTGACCTCTCGCATCATATAGACAAACACACAACTTTTCCCTCCCTCTCTATCTTCACCTACTCCCTTCTCCCTTCCTGTCAACCCAAAGGCAGACTCTCAGGGTCTTTGCTGGGAGAGGGAGTACAGTGAGTTTCAAAGCAGCAGCAAGTTCTGCAAACATTCAGCCCTCTAGAGTAGCAACTTGAAAACAAATGATATAAAATCAAGGTAGTAGATCATGTTGTCAGGAGGGAGATGCCCTGTAACTGGGTGTCCCTTGACCTGGTAATAACAAGGAGTCAACAGTTACTAAGTGTCTACTGTGTCCCAGGAGTTTCACAGCTATATCATCCCTGTGACAGTTATATATGACTATATATAGCATAACCACCTGGTAAATGAACAAACTAAAGCCTAGATAAGTCTCATCAGCAAGTAACTGGTCTACAACCTAGGACGTATCACTACCAGACGTGCTGCCTGTCTATCCTCGCTCCTTCCAGGCACATCACATTGTTCCTGTTTGTAATACTGCTATTTGAAATTACTCTGGGGAAGATTTGTTTATTACCCCCCCCACCTTCCCATTCCACTGAATACAGTAACTTTAGACACGGCAGAGAACCTGTCTGTCCGCATATCCCTCTGCATCCATGTATACATAGGAGTCCTCAGGAAAGATTTGCAGATGTGAAACGGTAGAGACGGGATTGAAGATAAGCCTGTGTTGTCCTGTGGTTCTTAGTCTATTTTATCTTCCCAGACCACTATTCTCCAGCCTGCAGGAACAGATGCATGAGAGCAATGGTGCTACTTGAATATTGAAGTAACCCACAAAAGGAAGCTATTGCTTGTGTCTCCTCTTCCTTAATCGCTTTATCCATCAAAGTCACCTCCTCTAGGGAAACCAGACCTGTTATTGGCCAATGGTATCTTTCCTGTGTTATTCTGACAGAATTTTTTTTCTGATATGGTCTTCACAGTTTTCACTGTTTAATTTTAGGTTATAGGTTCTCATTCTGTAGCCCACACTAGAAATGACTGTGCACCTCAGGCTGTCCTGAAACCTATAAACGTAAGCGTTCATTCAAGCGTTCTGATGGAAGGCGTAAGACACCAGACTGACAAGAAATTCTCATAAGAAATGAAAAAAAAAAGGATTCTATCAAGCACTGGGAACACCCACAGTTCTGTGAACTCATTAGGGTTCAAGCCAAGTGTGTGGTCTGGGTCTTGGCAGAGGAGGGCTGCTTGTTCTTATTCATGATCCAGTGCAAATACCCTCATGGCCCTGGGAATAACTGCAGCCCAGAGGCTTCATTTAGCACCCATAAGTTTTCACAATGACCAGATAGCACCAGGGCTGCTACCTTGTTTTTCCCTGACAAGGGTCACATCCACCGCCAGTATGTACTGTTAGCAGATTCTGAAAGCACCAACTCACCCTATCTAAAAAGGAAAACCACAGGGTGTAGTGGTACCTACTTGTAATCCAAGTACTTTGGAGGCTGAGTCAAGAGGATCAGGAATTCAAGGCCAGCATTGACTACATAACAAGTCTGAGGCTCTGGACAACAGGAGTCTCTGTGTCAAAGAAAAAAAGTATTTAAAAGGATGGTATTGTAACAAGATTATCATTACATTATGAGAAACAGTCAGAATAATTTAGCCGGGCATGGTGGCCAAGCATATCTCTATGTAACACCAGTGTTTGGGAGGAGAAGAATGGAAACATTACTACATAGTGAGTAGGAGGCCAGCCTGGGATACATGAGGCACTATTTCAGAGAGAGAGAGAGAGAGACTGGCAGGCTGGTTTTTCTGTCTACCAATATTCTGTCTTTGCCTTGTTCTCCATTGACTTCTTGCTTTAGACTTTGTAGTAAATCACTTCTGCTAACCTTAGGGTTGTTAGTTATCTATATGCAAACCAGGTTCTATGAATGTGGCTTGAACTCTTTCAGGTCCCATGAGGCCATTCAGTGTTCAACAGCCATCCTGCCCAGCCTGAAAATATTAGCCTATCCAGGCCAAGCTTGGCGTTCTGCTCCCAGGCCAGCCTGAAGTCTAGGGAAGGAGCAGGAAGAATGCATTTGGTAAGTCTATGCACATCTCCAGATGATGGATGTCAACATAAGTGTTTTGGCCACAACTCCCTTCATGAAGGAGCAGCAATCTAGCCAGTGAGTCACCATGAGAACTAACAAGGCAACGACCCATAAACATCAGAGGATGGTCACGTCACCGTGGACTGGAATCACTGAGGAAGACTGTGGACTTAGAAGGGATCTTAGGCAAAGTGCTGGAGAGCAAATGGACTGTTGATAAATAAATAGTGGAGAATAATAAATAAGGATAATAACTAAGGCAAAGGCTCGAGGACGGAAATGTGGAGGTGGGAGAGGGGAAAACAGAGTGTGTAATTCTGGAGGGTGGAGTGACTTGGCAAAGGCCAGAGCTTCGTGCAGAATACTGGTGAGGAACGGGACTGGAGAAGGACACAGCTGTGTAGCATATGACTCAATAACATTTACTTAACCCAGTTGAAGAAGAGATGGAATGTTTTACATCTTGAAATCTCAGTGATTCAGGTCACAGGGAAAGAGTTTGCAGCCATACCTATATTCTTCCTTGCTGGGGATTTTGTTGTCTATTCCTTACGTATCAGTGTATCTCTAGAACAATTCTTTCTCTGATATCTTTCTTGAATCCTCTCAAGGTAACTATAGCCACTGTCTTACCTTCAGTTACAAAGGATATGCCAAGAGGAAATGATAGGGGAAGGACATTGGTTAATTATAATAAAGAAACTGCCTCGGCCCTCATAGGACAGAAAATTAGGTAGGCGGAGTAGACAAAAGAGAATTCTGGGAAAAAGAAGCTTAGTCGAGGAGTCGCCATGATTCTCCCACGCCAGACAGATGCAGGTTAAGATCCTCCCTGGTAAGCCAGCTCATGGGCTACACAGAATATTAGAAATGGGTTAGAACAATATGTAAGAGCTAGCCAATAAGAAGCTGGAACTAGCCGGGCCAGGCAGTGTTTGAAAGAATACAGTTTCCATGTAATTATTTCTGGGCATAAGCTAGCCATACAGGCGGCCGGGTGCCGGGGACGCAGCCCTGCCGCCGCTCCTATCTCAACAGATGGTGCCCAACGTGGGGCTAAATCCACTTAAAAACCTGAGAAGGCTTAAAAATAAGGGAGAGAGAGTTTAACAGAGATTTTTGCTGTTTGCTGTTGGCGTGCTGTAGAGAAATTTTCTGATTCAGCAACAGCAGCAAAAAAAAAGCTGCGTCATTTTAAAGCTGCGCGGCTTCCTGGGGCTGCCAGCATGAATTCTGGCTTTAAAGCATTTCAAGGCTTTTATGGGACTGGATGTTTCTGTTCCCACTTGGGATCAAAAGGAGAGTGCTCTGAGACCGTGCCGATGGCTCAGCGTTCCCCGCCTGCACCTGGGCAGAAGGCCGAACCAGGCTTAGGCAGGTGGAAGAGCATGGCGGATTCCTGCCGCCATACAGACTGTTTTCAGACTGCGCAGTGCTCTGCGTGTCAGATTTGGCTTTAACTTGGATGAAAAGAGTTTCTGTGCTGCACACTCAGTCTCAGAATTAAACTGCTGATTGCGGCTCCAATGTGAACTGCTGTGTGCCTGGAACTGTGCTCAGCTCAGAAGCACCAAATGACTCTGAGGCAGGAGCAGCTTCTCCATGCTGAACTATGCTGATCTCAGGCAGAAACTACCGTAATTACCTTAAAACTGCGCAGTTAAGGTTTAGACTGGGCAGGACACAGGCAGTACCGTATTACCTGTACATGGTGCAACTTAAGTTTTTAAGAACTGTTTAACATTTTAAGAAATGCTCCTGGATAGTGAAAAAATTACAGATTCACAATAAAACAGATTCAGACAGACCACTAAATGGATCACAATGTTGGATGAGTGTACGTAGGCTTGAGAGAGAAAAAAAAATATAGAGAGAAAGAATAAAGTTAATGCCCTTAAAAAAAAGGGGATAAAGTCTTTAAAGAGACAGAGTACAGATAGTTATAGATTAAGAAAAATAAAGTAAATATAAGCCACATAAAAATGGAAAATTCACAGAGAGTCTGGATTATGTACTTTGTGTTTTCTTTAAAACTTTTGACTGTGAAGGAGCTAAGTACAGAGAGACATTTCATTATATGGGCTGCTAAGCTGAACCTACACATATGTTCTAAAGATATCTTGACTTCAGAATTTAGATCTAAGGTTATGATGCTTTGGAAAAGTCCTTCTTTTGTTTTTACAGAGGATGAGACCCTGTGGATTTCTTCTATTCCAATTTGGTATGATAGACCATGCCCTCCTGAATGGTTGCTGTGAACTCCTTCAGAAAATTGCTTCGCTCAACTGCCAACTGAGATGAAACTAGCACACAGGTTATATCATAAACAACCTAATTAACGACGCCCCCATTCAGCAGAAAGCAGTTTGGAGAGAAAAAACTACGCCCATGTTCCCAAATATTGTTTATAAATGTTCTTTTACATTTAAAGGGGGATATGATATAGATATGAATAATTTGCATTGGTATGGATTTTATGGTCAATTTTGTTATATGTATATGTATTTTTGATCTTGATTAAAGTACTGTGATTGTGTAGTTCATTTAAAAATGTAATGTATAATTAGGAAATATAGGTTGTTAATGGATAATCATCGCTAATAGTTAAGCTTGTAGTCATGTTAATTAGATTTTCTAGATATATAGAGAGATATTTCAGTTAGATAGGCATTCTTCATATCTCTGAAAGACTGCAGAATATGGCATTTAAAATATTTTAATAACTAAGGACTTTTCATGACAATGAGACACGTCTACTCCTGGCAGCACCAATCTACTTCAAGAGGAAGATGGGCATTGAAGAGGATCCTTATGGAGTTTGATAGTCATTTGGGCAAGAAACTGCTCTTTCCTGGACTGTTGCATAAACTGGACACAGAGAACCTACAGAGAGAGGACTGCTGAACTTGCCTAAAGGTGAGATGGTCTTTCGGGGTTCCTGATTCATGAAGGAGTCTGCAAGACATTCTGCAGGACACAGCAGAAAGTGACTGAACTGTCTTTGAAATTTCCTGCTTCATGGAAATGTCTCTGGATACCATGGGCCTGTAGGCCAAAGATGGATGCCCCAACGGTACAGAGGAACTTTGGGTGACTGTCCAGGCAGTGAGATGTCTCTGTCATTTCTAGAGTTTTATTATTTCTTGTTTACTTAGGTAGTATTATATCCTTCTGGAGTCTTTGATGGAGTTGAAAAATGAATAGATAGTTATAGTTTTCCTTAGTTATGATAAGAGATAAAATAGATATAAATATTGTAACTGTAATTCTTACTTGATAACTATTTTGTTATATGTAATTTTGCTATGTTAAGTTAAAGCCTTCTTTTTTTTTGTTTAAACAGAAAAAGGGGAAATGATGGGGGAAGTACATTGGTTAATTATAATAAAGAAACTGCCTCGGCCCTCATAGGACAGAAAATTAGGTAGGCGGAGTAGACAAAAGAGAATTCTGGGAAAAAGAAGCTTAGTCGAGGAGTCGCCATGATGCTCCCACGCCAGACAGATGCAGGTTAAGATCCTCCCTGGTAAGCCAGCTCATGGGCTACACAGAATATTAGAAATGGGTTAGAACAATATGTAAGAGCTAGCCAATAAGAAGCTGGAACTAGCCGGGCCAGGCAGTGTTTGAAAGAATACAGTTTCCATGTAATTATTTCTGGGCATAAGCTAGCCATACAGGCGGCCGGGTGCCGGGGACGCAGCCCTGCCACCGCTCCTATCTCAACAAGAATAGCTTTGTCTCTGGTCTTGGCTTCGAGATTTAGACTCTAAATCCAATTGTTTGATAATCATCTCAATATTTCTTAAATAGAATAATATATTCTTGACAGTACCTAACTGATTTTTATATTTTCTGCCATTCTTATGGGTAATATCCTTCCTTCCTTCCTTCCTTCCTTCTTCACTTTCCTTCCTTCCTTCCTTCCTTCCTTCCTTCCTTCCTTCCTTCCTTCTTCACTTTCTTTCCTTCCTTCCTATCATCCTTCCTTTCACCCTTCCTTCCACATCAATTAAATATCTTCTATATTTTGCATATCAAATGAAATGGCAATTTATCTTTTGATAATTCATAGTATAGTTAAACAGGTAGATAAATTCAATAGGTCTTTTTATTACTTAAAAATAATATATTCCTTACAAAAATAAATATCCATAACGTACCAAAATAAATTAGAGATTCACAGCTTTTGAAGAATCCATTCACTTATTCAGAGGTTCAAAAACTGCCTCTTTCTCAAATATTATTCGAGTAGAGCCTTAGATCTTGACACTAATCAGACAGAAAAAAAAAAGGAAACAGCACTAGTTTGATTAGACAGGAAGAACAAATGGATAGATGTTAGTTTATAAAGAGAGTTTTTATATTAACCATGATAAAAGCCCTCACTGTCTACCCATCACTGGCAAGAGCTATCCACATGCTATTTATATGACCTTCAAATCATCATTTTACAGAAGAGCACAGATTAGAAGTTGACCTGGAAGCCCATGTTTCCCTGACTTGAGAACCTGAACAATGGAGAATGATGAGAGACAGAGCTGTAGCACTGGGAAGAAACAAGAGCCCACAGATTCTGGAAAGAAATGAGCCATTGTGCTACACTTCTAGAAAGTGACCTTACCTGGAATAGAAGGTCACCTTTGGAGTGAGCCCAGGATTAATTTAGGGGTAGGAGACCTCATGAATGAGATGATACAATAGGGCTTCTATCGTTGGCCAGGTGAACTTCTTGACTCCTGTAGTACAAAGTAGAAAAGAATGACCCTGTCATGACTTGAGTGTTGGGAGGTGGCAGGATTGATAACACTCTGGAATTTGAAGAGCCCTGCTTTTTAAATATTACTCTGCATTTTGGGGGGCTATGTGGTGTAGTATTATTGGGTGCCTGCATTCCAGATCTTTCTAGGTAAGGTAAAATTAATAAGATACAGCCGCTGGCCTCAAGGGAGTCCTTGATTAATGATGGAGATACAAAAACAAAACAA